ATGGTAGCCGCCGAACAGCTGGTGGCGAAATTTTGGACAGTGTGGAATCTGCTATTTGGGCCAGCAGAAGCTATTAAAGACCACGTAAATAAGGGTATTGGCGGAATCGGCCGCTGCTCGTGCGGCCTACGGTAGATCCAAGCACGTCTAATGCGCGAAGGGAGATGTCCGTTGGAAGCCCACGAAAGTAGATCCAACAAATGTGCGAAGCACGTGCCAATGAAAGGCTGCTAGTGAACCGTCTTTAAAAAGAAAGTGAAACTGCCATCAGGTCGGATATTAAAGTCTGCTTATAGCTGCTGGGTAAGACCTTTCTATGAGATGTAGGATTAACTTGTACTAACCGTTTACTTCAAATTTTCGCACGCAAAATAGTAAGTCACGGAATTTCACCCTTTTTGCTCACCCTCAGGCGACTCCTATATAATCCGCTGCCTAAAATGTCTCTGCATGGAAGATATTTAGGCAGAAATGCCTTGTGGATTCCATCAAGAAAAAAGCGTAGTTACAGGGGGTGAGTGGTGGGACCAGGGGCAATAGGGAAATGGACTTTGTTTTAGTGAACTGTCATATAAATAGGGAAGAACACACTGTACCAAAAGAACCGGTAAAAACAAAAGCCGCCGAACAGAAACGCCGCCGGAACAAGTTTAACTGGTCACAATAATCAGGGAACTGAAAAGTCAAAGTCAAGGAATAAAAGGAGCTGACTGGAGCAGTAAAGATCAAAAGTCTGTAGCTACGTTATTAGTTTAGCGTTATTTTTACGGAAAGATTACGGTAGGGAGTGCTTAGGTGACCGCCAGGTACAAACCGACACCCTTCCCCGTCGAAGGTACGTAGCGGCCCGCTGTGTTTATTTCCGTATAGGCATTTTGTCCCGCGGTTTTCAGTACAGGTTCCTGTTTGCCGTGGATTGCCTAATTTAATAAACTGTCAGTTTTTGTCAAACGTTTAAGGGAAAGTAGAAGATGCGATGGTGGGAATGAGATTCATCTGTGTCTTGCATATGCGCCGAAATCCATCAACAAGTACAATGTGTCACTGGCGAAGCATTCCGCCTATTCTTTGACTATAAACACTACCAGACAAAGATTCAATTAGGAACAAGTGCGAATTGTTGTAATTTCGTATCTTTTTTACTCAGTCTCCGTAAATTTTGCGTGATTTGTCTACTACCACACAGGAGTATTTTTTTACTTGCTGTTGCGTCATATAAACGAAATTCATCCAGTATTTAATTTGTTCTAGCAGACAGAACTGACAAAAACCTCACATTGAGGATCTAGAAGTAGCGAGGAATGAGAGCATTTTTTAACTATTATTTGATTAATACGAACTTCTCTGTCGGCAATACAACCTTGTCTGTCCTCTGGCTTTTTGGGAAGGGCGGTGAAGAAAAACTGTGGCTGGTTGACTGCTGTGCGTTTAAGTGTCGAATTCACCTAACCTACTGACAGCGCCGCGAGACGCAATGCATGGACTGTTTTAGTACCGTGCAAGTGAACTGAGTTGCCCACCCACTAATACAGTGGGAACCTTCGGCAAGTAAGGTTAACCGTATGAAGTCAACCTGGCCGCGACGGATGCCGCTGGCGCGTTGCAAGCGCTCGCGCGGGGGTGCCCGCGGGCTATAAGATAGGGGGTGGGAGATTTGGAG